GCACCCTAAGAAATCTTTGTCATTCCGCATCGTATACTCCTATGCCTATTAGAAAAAAACTTGCTCGTCAATTAGTTCTTCCCATCATCACTTACTCTGAGGTGGTTTATAGCAAGCTTGATTCTAGGTCATCTCATAAAATTGATACCTTATTCAATCATAACGCGTCGTTATGTTTATGAAATACGAAAGTTTGACCACATATCTGCTTGGAGATGTAGCTTATTGGGCTGCGAGTTAACCGATTATTTAAAAGCTAGAAATTGCATATTTCTCTTCAGGCTGTTATCTACAAAGACTCCGCTTTACTTATATGAAAAATTTATCTTTCCTAAGTCTGAACGCTCTTATGATTTAATTGTACCTCAGTTTAACTATAAAAACTCTACTAGCCTGTTTTTGTCAATGTTATGAGAGTGTGGAACTCTATTCCTGCCACTATTAGGAGCACAATGAACAAAAGCAACTACAAGAATGTATGAGGTGGGTTTTGTCGAAGGCTGAGGTATGCTCAGCCGCTCCAGAGTCCAGCGAAGGTCCCACTAACCCCCGCCAAATAAAACACAATAACTTGTGTATTAAGTCGAACACACACACGCCGCTATCTAGAACAGTGCCCGCCAAACCTTTCCTGAGAAACGAACTATATTCGGCCTTTCACATGTACACAATCGGCTTCTTACACGTACACAATCCGAACCAGGGATGAAAAAGTAGGTACAATTGTACCTTTTTCCGACGTTTGATGACTTAAAGGTACATTAGGTACAGACACTAGATTTTAGGTACAATCATCTTTTGATCAGATGCATTTTTAGTTTTTTTTTTCTTTTTCCTTTACCGTGCTGGTATATTTACTTTGCTTTCATTTTGAAGAATAAACAATTTTAAAGGAAAGTGGTCAAAAGGAAGAAATTAAAAAAGTCATATTATGTATTATCTTAAACATTTTACATTGCATTTAGGGCAGCCACTACGAAAAATTAACACTTTGCTTAGCTATCATCAAATTCGTATTTTTTTCTATTAATTTTAACGGTTATTTTCACTAAGTCAAATTCAATGGCATTTGCGGCCAAATGAGTGAAAACAAATTGTCAAATGGGATTAAAAGATGGTATTTTGATTGATTTAGATCAGAATAGGCCTTCATGCGTGTACATCCGCTGCTAAAGCGGCTATTTGTAAGTTTTTGGCCCATAATATCATCGATAAAAATAGGGATAAAGGAAAGAAAGTTGTGTCAAAATATGGCGACAAATTTTGTTGTCAAAATATGACATAATGAAAACCAGCCTTTATTCACACATACAGTTCAGTGTCTAGGATGTCTTCAAATTTCATATTTTC